CTGCATTATACTGAAGTCTGTTGGATATTGCCGGCTCAGCCACAAAATAATTCTCCCAAAAGGACTAATGGTGTTAAATCCATGGAATGAGCCATCTCTGTCCTGTTCTCTTTGCTGAGGAGGCCAAGCCCCCCCCCCCTTGTTTCTTGTTTCCCTGCTCAGACAGGTCTGACTCTCTCTTCACCTTCAAGCCTCCCTCAATCCTACAATTCCATTGTAAAATCCTGATTCTGGGATCTGGTACCGCAGCTACAAACCGGGAAGTTTCCAGTTTGTGCTTTTAGAATAACAGGAATTTTTAATCAGCTCCCTACATAAAATCGACGAGGGGGAATGTGCATTTCCCTAAATAAGAGAAACAACCCTCACACTGAAAATAAAGACTTCTCTCTGAGGGCTATTTCCATGGTAACTCGTAAATTCGGAGCTCCAGCTGTGTTGGCTGCGGGAAAAGGTAATAGGGTTGTTTGTTGTTGTTAATAATGGGAAACCATTGTTGTTAATAATGGGAAACCATCACCACTGTCCTGTCATGCAAAAAAAGCCTGGACTGCTTTGGTTTAAAACCTCCCCGAAGCTGGCAAAGAACGAGCTTGCACAATTTCACCCCCGGCAGCTGGAAGACTAAGATGAACAGAAGGAATGAGAGGAGAAAATGATTCATGATTTAACCTCGTTGTTCACAACCAGCATCCCAAAATATCCACGTGTCCCTTTTGATCCTGTCAAAATTCCAAGTGGGTCACAAGTTACGTAAGTATGTTGTTGTATATTGATTTTATACACAATTAAATATAAGCGTATACAATTTCATACATGATTCTATGTCTGGTTTTGCAGTGGTTAAGGGAACATCACAGCACACAACAGCCCACGGCAAAATGCAGATGAAAGATTTTGAATTAGGGAAAAAAATACCCCCCAAAACCACACACACACACAAAAAAACCCCCTCCTCACATAAAAACACAGCCACACATTCTGACCCTGAACAGGAACTCTCCGGTTGGTTTCCAAGAGTTTATCCCTGCAAAGTGAGGTGGTGGAGTCCCAAAATAATCCACGTTGTTAAAGACGTGTGTGCAGAGAGAGGAAATCGGTAAGGGCAGCCAGGAAAGTGTTAATTGTTAACGCAAGGAACACCTCCAGGAATCTCTTTGCATTTGAATCCCTGATTTAGCAGGGTTTTCATACTCTTTTAACCAGAAAGATGGGAGGAAATAATTGCATCCCTTCTCTTTCCTGAGGCACATTTGCTCCTGCTGAACTCTGCACAGTGCTGAGCATTTGGTAAAGCCCAGCTAAGGCTGCTTTTCCTCATAACAACAAAGAATTCAAGTTAATATTTAGTCTGGGCTTAATAGTGCTGAGGTTGAGCCTGTGAGTAAACTAGAATTTACCTTAAGGCAAATTCAGCTTTGGACTTGAAGTGTCACTTCAGTGATTTGATGGCATATCACTCACCCCTGGCTGTCTGGGAAGGCTGCTCGGGATTTTCTGGATCATTCCCATGGATTTATAGGATTAGGTCCCACGCACTCAGCCAACCTTACACTTGCAGGGCTGAAATGCAGCAGGGCAAATGCGCGTGCCAATTTGGAAAGGTCTCTGGTTCCAAACAGAGATTTCACTTAACAATTCTGAATCCAGGGATCTCTTTACCCATGTTTGCCAAAAAGCCAAATAAAAATGAGGCATGAGAGGTGAGCGACTGGCAAAGGTGATGAGACTAATGTTGTTGGCATGTTGATTTATGACTCAACTGAACCTCCAAACTCGTTAATAAAGCATAAATGTGCAAACTGTTCTCAAATATTAAACCAAAAATCAGCAGAAGGGAGACAATTCTGCACAAATGTTTCTAAAATTCGGATCACTGGACAGCTTCCCTCTACAACCACTGACATCACTCCTAAAAATTGTATGGGACCAGCTTTTGTGCACATTAAATATGTTTTGGAATCTTCAAGCCTCCAGACGTGGATCCTATTAACACACAGTTGGGAGAGGACTAAGAAAGACCCCAAATGGTCTGGTTTTATTTTCAGTTCAAAGCTGAAAAAGTCACTGCCACTCCCGGGCTGCTGCAGGGTCTTTGTAACGCTGTAGGATTTTCCCATGTAGATGAAACTTCTGGAGAGCTCAAAACATTTTGTTCCTTGACACTCATGGATTGCACTCTGTGTAGGGAAAGCAAAAGTGCAAAAGAGCCTTTGGAATTTCCAACTCCAAAGACAGAAACTAGACCAGCTTAAAGCTTCGAAGACTATTTTTTTCCTACATTTTTGGATTAAAATCTGCTTTATATCCATGTAATTCATTATCCATGTTAAACAGGTAAAAATTATCTTGATACCGGTTTGAACCAGCTACACCTCAGAGCCTGCTGGAAGCTGGTTATCCCTGGATTTTCTTTCTACTCCAGAAATGTTATTTCTCACTTGTGACCGTGTGTTGTCCCCAGTCTCCCTCCTCTGACACTTCGGCTACTGATGAGATCCTGAAGGAATGAAGTTTTGGTACCAGGATAACCCTGGGCTTTCCATGAAGTTTTTGTACCAGGATACCCCTGAGCTTTCCACGTTTTGGTACCAGGATAACCCTGGACTTTCCGTATCCCGGTTCTCTGCTGCTGACAGTGCCCAACCACTGTGCCATTCCCAGCAGGAACCTGCTCCCTGCGGGAATGAGGGAGGGAAATGAGGAAGGTGGAGGTGGAGGAGCCGCAAATGGTTTTCAATTAGTGGGTCCTCCATTGTCGCTGCAAAGAGGGGATTAGGGGCAGGTCCCGGGGGGAGATAAAACCTCCTGGAGCGGGAGCTCAGGCAGTGCCCAAAAGGAGGGGGAAGAAGGGGCAGCTTGTTGCCAGTGCCCAGTATGGCTCGGGGTGTGCTCTGTGCCCTGCTGCTGGCGCTGGGCTGCGCCCTGGGCCGGGCGGGGGAGTATTGCCACGGCTGGTCGGGGGGTGCCCAGCGCTGGCACCGCGGCTTCCAGTGCCCCGAGCGCTCGGACGGCCCCCTGGCCACGCTATGCTGCGGCTCCTGCAGCCTCCGCTACTGCTGCTCGGCCCCCGAGAGCCGCCTGGACCAGGGCAGATGCCCCGGGGAGCCCCTGCCCAGCCCCAGGACCCCTGTGCCAGGTGAGCTTTGCTAGCGTGCAGAGGGAATGTCGGCTGTGCTTCCTTCTGTGCCACCTTCCCTTGGTGGCATCGGCCGGGCCCCTTCTTTTCTTTGTCCCCGCAGCTCCAAGCTGTCACCTCCGCGGCAGAAAGGGTTGGAGCGCTGGCACCCTTCGCTGGGAACAGGGAATAACTGGGGGGTTCACTCAGAAGGCTTTTCTGTCAGTCCTGCTCCTAGAAAACCCTCTAAACTACTAACAGAGTACCCTGCGAACACCTCTGGTGTTCATATCCCCGTGGAACGTGTTGCTGATCTATTATGGGTTGGACTCGATGATCTCAGAGTTCTTTTCCAACCTAGTTGATTCCGTGATTCTGGATGATTCTATTAATGCATGTGCTCTAAGTAACATATTTAACTTCAGTTCGGGCTTGTATCCCTCAAACCCAAACTGTGCAGGCAATGCAACCCCAGTTTAAGTACTAACTGTAAAACTCGGCTAATTTCTACTTTATCACACACGAGTGACCAGCAGCTGTGTCACCTGAGTTCTGGAAGAGCTCTTGCACGGATTAACGGCCGGGGCTATAGGACTGACCCTCTGCATTTCGAGCTTTCTCAAGTGACCTGCTGTAACAATTCCCAGTGTCTGATCCTGCTGCAGCAAAAGAGTCGAGAGTGAAACCACTCTGGGCTACCCCTGGTGCAAGGATTGAGAGCAGAGTATACCCTGGAATGCCCGTGGATGATTGTTCCTAATGCCTCTTTGCGATTTCAGTGCCCGTGTACCTGCCTTTCCTCCTCGTCGGCTCCGTCTTCGTGGCATTTATTGTTGGTGGCGCCTGCGTTGGAATTTGCTGCTGCAAATGCTTCAAATCCCGAGCTGAGGGGCAGCAAAGTGGGCTTGCACCCGGCCAGACTTGGCTACTAGAGCCTGACGTTCCTTCTGGCCTCCCCAGCTCTGCCCTCAGGGGCTCCCTGGGCAGCGCCCCTCCAAGCAGCATCTGCACGGCTCTGCCTCCACCCCTCCCTGTCCTCGGGCTGGCTCAAAACCCTCGGTTCTTCTCCCCTCCATGCGCCAGTGCACAGCTCTCACACCCTTCCCGTGCTCTCCACGGGATCCCAAGGGATCACACTCCAGCACCGTTCCTTAAAAGAACAATTCATGGACATGGTGCTGAGGCAGCTCTTGGAGTGGCACAGGGTAAGCCAGGGGTGTTCTCAGCAGTTCATGTCTGACTGCCACTCACAGCACCCACCTGCATCTGCCTCACGGTCATCATGACTACTTTGGGACTGAATTGAGGACTTGGAAATATTTGGTGCTACTAGGAAGTGCATCAATTTTGGCTTTTTACAGCTCTGAGGGCACCATTTCAGAACTTATTTTAGCTTCTTGGCATTTTTCACTTGTATTATTTTAATGCTGCTGAAAAAGGGAAGATTCTGAGCCCTGCACACCTGCTCAGGGAACAACTGGAGCTCCAAAACTGAGTCCCACCCTCCCCTGATCCTTTCATGCTCTGGGGGACATGTCAGAGGACTTGGTTTCAATTCCTGCAGCTGCGGACAGGGAGGTGCCTTAGTGGAATTATTAATTGTGGACACCCAAGAGCCTGCACAGCACAGGAGGACTGTGCTTAACCTGCATGCTTGGACCAGTCAATTGATGGTAAAACACTGCCCGTGGCTGGGCTGCCCCTGCTGGACCCTCAGGCAAGCTGTGCTGCTAAAGGAGCAACTTTTAGCCCAAATTTCAGTGATATTTACATTTTGTACAGATGCTACATGAAGATAATAAAACAGTGTATGTGTTGATTCCTCTCTTCCAGTGGCTTAGCGGTGGTTTTTTTTCCTTCTTTACATAATTGGACACTTCCAATGGCTGAAGAATTAAAGGGGAAGGTAAGAACAAATTAAATTCCAGCCTGCTTTGGCTTCTTGTTGGGATGCAGGATGGCTGAGCCATCCCCTTCCCAGCAGGAGACTGAGAGGAAGAAGTTGTTAAAATATCCTCCTCGCTGCTGGAGTGTTTTAACACCTCCTCCAAGCCCTGGATCCCGAGGGATTAGATTGGGAAGGGAGGTTGAAAGGACTCCACGGGTGTTACCAGCAGGAGCAGGGGCCGAGGCTTAAAAATCTGTCCGGAGCCTTTCCCCTCTTAGTGCTGTCTATTAAGCAGCCAACTGGTTAGTAGTAATATGGTTTTAAACCATAAAGGGGTTTGGAGGCATCTCTTGTAAGTTAATAGACTTTGTATAAACAAATGCATGGCCTTGCACTGATTTAAGTGTATTTTACTGAGTTATGGGAAAGTAACAGGTTGGTCAAGTTGTGTCTATCAAGATTAACAGAGACTATGTAGTTATGAAGAAATGTATACATTACATTTCATGCACTTTTTTTGCCTGCTCTCTCTATTACTCCTGCAAAACTTGTAAATTCCATTTTTATTTCCTCTCTTTTCTGTCATGCAATCCAATGCTAAATATGAAATACCAGCACAGAAACTGTCTTGACACTTATAATAGTGTAGTAGGAGAAAACACAATTGTTCCTTTTATTAATTGGGTTTTTAAACCCTTTGGGTAGGTGTATCATTAGACTGGTGCTAAAACAAACAAACAAACAAAGATCTAAAAATCACAAGCATTTCTCTGGATTCTTGCAGACTGTGCAGTGTATAATGTGTTCCTCTTTCACCACCACACCTGCCATGTACTCCATGCTCTAAACTGAATTAGTACTTACCAAGTAGCATTTGTAGTATATAAAAAATGAGTCCAAACCCACTGGTTTTGATTGATTTTTATTGTATTGTCCTTCCCAAAGATGGAACCCAATGGACAGGGGCCATGGATATTTGACTTCAGAATGTTCCATGTGAATTGTGGTGAGCAGAATGTCCTCCAGGAATGCTCATACTGAGTGCCCTGGTTTATAGGGGCAAGGGGATATACTCCCTGACTCTTTCCTGGGGGTGAATCAGGAATTTCACAATTCACCTGACCCACGGCTGTGATTTTCAGTTTGCTTGGCCAGTTCCTCTTAAACTTGGAATGAAAATATAAGCCTGAAAATGGAACACCCTAAAAATAAGAGCTTCTCCAAAATACTGACTCACATTGTTCACTTGTTTTAGTCCTGAAAAATAATAAGTCAAGGTTTCCAAAAATATGAACCTCCAAGCATTGTCCTTGGCACAATCAGTGGAAGACACTGGGATTTATGGAGAAGTGCCAACACACAGGACAGCACCTGGAATGCTGGGTTTTCAAGTTTTAACCTTGTATTGCTGAAAGCACTTCAAAAATTATACCCTTTCTATAAAGAAATTTGTTTGCAGCTGGCTTAGGAAAATCTGTAGCTGAGTGGAGAATTTATCTCATTAAATGGCCAATTTTGATAGTACATCGTGAGAAAAACTCGTGTCAGTTCAGAGATAAATGGACAAAATCTTTCCTGAGGCTCTTTATTCTGGGAAATACAACTCCCATCATTTTAGGAAGGTATATTTTATGCTTGGTAGACTCAGGCAGTAGAAATGGAGAACAGGTGGGTTTATCAGCAACTCTATCCTTTAATAAATATGATTATTATCTACTGATTCAAAGAAACCTCTGCCAATCTGAAAAGCACTTTTATTACGGCCGGGGAATGCAAAGGGGCAGGTGTTCTCCCCAGTGCACTCCTCCGAACCAAGAAATACGATAGCCTTTCATACAGTTTGAAAGTAGCAAGTTTAAAATTATCTTTACACACACTCTTTTTGCAGTCTGCCTTATCTAAATAGACATTTAGTTTTACCTCCTATCTTACCATTATAGAGTAGTTACATAAAGTTTTATCATTTCAAGCAGTTTCAGGTTCCCCACCCCTCTCTATGTGCTAAAAAGCCTTCCCTATTCTCTAAGCTATTTTATCTCAATTGCCCACAGTTTGGGCAGAAACTTTTAAGCAGTTTTACATTTTGCAAAGTCACACTTACATCGCTAAATAGCTCAATTTTATTTCATTTTCTATTTCACTACTGTAGATTTTCTGATCTAGAAGGTAAAGGAATATGTGACCTGACAGCCACTTAAGCCCAGGTCTGTGGTGTCACAGAGCTCCTGTGAGCTCCAACAGAGATGGAAAACTTTCCAGGAGGCAGCTGCAGGATAAGGGTTTAAATTAAATAAGAAACCAGACAGAGCCTTGCTAATACCACAAACCAGAAAAGGGTCAAGAGGATCAACCCTAAGGAAGGAAAAGGAAAAGAGTTAATCAGAAGTAAGGAATGGGAAAGCTAAATGGTTCCGTGAGCGCCGCCTTAATTACTCTCTGGTAAGGATTAGCAGAATGTTTGGAGTCAGCACTTCCTCTCCTCATCTATACCCCAACTGGAAAACTGAGACCAAAAAACCCTCAGAAAAGGGTTTTTTTTTTAAAGGGGTTTAGCAGAGCAGCTGCTCACTGGCAAAGTACCGGGAACAACAGGATCTTCTGGATCCCTGCCACAGTATTTTCTGTACAGCTCAAACTAATGTGCGAGGCAACAAAGCTAGGTCAAGTATTTCAAAGGTTCAACATTTCTTTTCAAAACTGCCAGAGAAAACAAGAACGAATCGATTTGTTGCACTCCATGGGCTGCACAGACGTTTTTCTAAGAAGCATTTGTTTTAACATCTTCCACCAAGCCCCTCTGTAAACTGGGATTACCTCTGTCTCAATTAGCATTAAACCCGGATCAACTCGTGTGGGGCCTGAGGAAAAAGCAGTTTTTACGTAAATTCTGCCCCTTTACTAATTTGCGGGGGCCTTGCTACTGAGTTTAGCACATCTTTAGCTAGATGGGATACGTTCAGGCTAAATCCCTTTTTTCTCTCCCCTAAACTGCTTTTCCTGGTTCAAGCTAAAGCAGAAGCACTTAGGAGAGACTAAGAGCCTGCTTAGCACCCATTGTGCTCGGGATGGGCTTTGTTTGCCTAATGATGCCCCATCCCAACCCCCTCCACTTCTAATTAAGAAATGATTTACCCTCTTTGCTTCTTAAGCCTCAGTAATGACACAGGTGATGGGAATTGTTCTCAGTGTGTTCCTTCTGGATTTAGGAAGAAAGGAGAGTTAAGAATTGAAGAGGTGAAGAAGCTTTTGCCCGCAAAAAAACACATTACAAGGCTCGAAGAAAGATGTCCGTGTGGCTTCTCCCAGTCCTGTCTGCTCACAGCACTGCGGTGTTTTCAACAGGAGGGTTAATTTTTGTCACTTCAATCTGTTCCTGATTGATCTGAGAGAAACCAAAATGTATCTTTGTTCAGATTTTTTGGGGGGGCAGATTTAGCCAAACTAGTGTAAAGTATGGCAGGTTTCTGTTGTATATAGCTGTCTCCACAATATTCCCGGTTTATTCCTTTTATTTTTTTCCCACTGGATCGATATCCACTACTGATTAATCCCCTCTCTGCTCGTAGAAAATTAACCCAAAGCAATTTAAAGAGCTTTTAGTTCTGTTACTGTGAATGATGATGTTTTATGTACTGAATAAAAAGCAACCTCCCTTTCTGAACAAACTAAGGGACAGCAAAGTCAGTCAAGGTTTTTCATCTCTTTCACTCTTTACCTCTTCCAAGGCCACAGAGTGTATTGGCAGAACTGAGAGGAGATTCCAACAACCCTGGCTCCATAACTTGGATGAATCCACAGTATTCATGCATTTCTTTGGCTAAGAATAATGATGGATATTTGCCTGGCATTAAGTGACACGTTTGCTTTCATTCAGCGTAGCTGCAGGTTTGAAATGTAAAACCAGAGTTGTTACAAACAGTCTGATTTTTTTCTGTTTATGCCAAGAGTTTCCCAAAGACCTGACATGATTTGTTGCAATCCAGTCAATTCAACTCTGAACTAAACAAGAAACCCCTCGAGCCTTCAGGCAGAGCTCCAGATTTGCTATTCTTCAGTCATAGGTATTTGGGCAAATGGATCAGAAATTATCAGAATGCAAAAGCCCAGTCAACCTACAGATTTCTGTGGGATCTCAAAGCAAGGAGGAGCATTCCCTGTATGGAAGTTATACTATTTCGTTAGGTGCTTCCAGAGGAAAGTGAAGGCAGTTACAATGTGAGGTCACGAGAGTGAACGTGGGCTGCTGCAGGACGCAGAGGAGGTGAGAAGGTGTAACCTCTTCTTGGAAAATAACAATTCCTGACGTGCTCCCCTTCCCTGTTAAAGGATGCCACATGTGTCTGTAACCAAGCCCTCTTGCCAGCACCCATTTTGTGTGGGTTTTAAACGAAAAAAGCTCCCTTGAGCACTAGGAGAAGGTTTGACTTGCCCCAAGGGCTGCCACTTTGCTTCTCTCCTGGCTGGCAGAGTATCCCAGTGCTCATTCCAAGCCTCATCCCTGTTGCTGAGAGCAGGCCTTGCTCCAGCAGATATAAAGGAGAGCAGCCTGGCAGTCCTGGGTGCAGATGCAGAAAGAAACTGGGAATGTTTTTCCTTCCCTAGGGAGTATGGTATGGAGCTGCTGTAGCAGCCTACTCACCCACAGACCTCCATGGATTCATGGATTTTGCTGGAATAATTTCTTTTTTCCTCTTAAGGCCTTCACAGTCACTATTGTACTGATGTGAGGTTTCCATGTGGTTCTGGTATTATGGGACTGTAATCTCCTGTTTATCAGAAACAGGGATGGAAGGATGGAATCCCAAAGGGGTCTGTCAGGTCAGAGGCTGAGGCTTCTTCCCTGGCACTGGATTATGGCAGGATCAAACTGATGCCTAAAAATGGGAGGAAAAAACCTCACTAAGGCATCAAACCCTGGCTCAGAGTGTTTGCGATTATCTCCTGTTTCACTGCTGAGTGTTTGAGTCCCTTCTTGTTGAAAGCCCACTGCGTTCACAAATGAATGGGTAACACATCTC